GTAGCCGAGAAACAGACCCAAGGGCTGGCTGGGGCATGGGGGGAGGAGTAAATTTCTTCAAACTCTTTATCTACTTTCTGTTACCTGTCTCCGCAAGGGGATGCGCTTGGTCAGCTTGTGCACAGCTGGCTGGCTGCTGAAGTCTGGCTTCTTGGTCGTGGTCTTCATTCGGCACAGGATGACCGTCACCACCATACAGGCAATGAGGAAGACCCCTATGCAGTAAATGGCTATCTCCAGGTAGTCTGGGGAAGCCGTAATCTCCTTTTCTCTTACAGGAGCTAGAGTGTAGACCACAGGGGAGGAACAGATAAGCAGGCCACAGAGTTAGGACATGGGGTTGCTGCATCCCGGCACAGCTAAACGAATCACAAGGGGATGACCATTCCCAAGGACAGGCTTCCCAATGACTCAATGCTGCAGAATGGCATGGGCTATGGGCCTGCCATGCACCTCTCCCAAATGAAGGTGAGTAACCAAGGGCTCCCCGCTTGACCACCGAGGCCCAAGCGGCCACTAGCTCTAGCCTCAATGGGCCCCTGCAATCCAGTGATCGTGATGGATTGGCTGCCTCCAAGGCACAAAGGGCAGGCTACAGGGCCACATTCTGTCAGACATTTGGGCAGAATAGGACAGTTATCCATCCACAACTACAGGGAAAAAAAAGGACTGTCTTCCATGGTGGTCTCTGACGCAAACCAAATCAAAAATTTGTAAATATAAACAATGCACACTTATGCATGTGAAGAGATGGTACCTCACTCTTATTTGGGTGAGCTCTTCCAAAGGAAGATGTGACAGGGTCATTTACCCCAGATGAACACACTTCCATATGAAATGAAATAAATACTCATCTAGTAGGCTGGTCCAGAAAGGTTTCAAATTTCTTAATACAGTCCAGCATATTATTCAACCAAATAAACAAATTAACTGAATTTAAAGGCCAAATTGCCTTTAATATACAATCATTATGTCTGTACCATGGAACGCTTCTAATATCCCTTAATCAATTACCATTTAAGATCTGTGTTCTCTGGTTATACTGAGGTCACTACAACTTTTCTCTTAAAGAAAAAATAGAAACGGTATTACGTGAGTTTCCACATAATTACTTAAGGTAGCACGTTCTTAGATCAACTTCCAGTAATAGCTGCTCCCTCCTCAGTCCGCAATGGTCATGGAGCTACAAGCAGTGTATTTCCAAACAGTATTTTTCTCGAACTGCATTCTTAGTTAATGTGCTAGTACTGTCAGGCAAATTGGTTAAGAAGTGCCAATTAGGCACCTGCAGAATGCAGTACTACAAGTAAAAAGCAAGCTCAACATAAGAGGCATCTCATTGTTTCAAAGCAAATATCCATAGAGCAGACTCACAACAAAAGGGAAAACGGATGCGATGGTATTATTTAAAGCTCATACATTTTAATCAGAAAAAATACTTGCAAGATAGTCAAAACTCCCAGCAGCACAGCACAAAATGAAATGATCAATTTCTTTTTACTAGATATAAAAATAAGCATGCAGGTAGGCACCATACTCTAAAAAAATAAGGAATTAATAACTGGAGTGGAACATCATGAGCTAGCAAACCAGTCTATGCAGCTTCACAAAGGAAATGACAAAGAGACAGACACATCAAAGCAGATCGTGATTATCAGGAGAAGTTTGACGAGGACAGAGATGTCGGTTAAAGATTCAGACAGAAGCAGTATGTAGGCAACAGGGCTTCGCTGATGTTGATTTCTCCACAGGGAGGAAATAACATCAAGCCCAAGTTGGCGAGAACATGCTTTGCAGGAAAGGCAAACTGAGGGTCCATTTTATTGCAACATGCAGCAAGCCACCGATTCCCGAGGTAGGTAACACACTGCTTCTGTACGTCCTACGTGCCGAGGTGCTTCTCCCCAGGCACCCCGACATACATCCACCTATTTGCATATCATTAAAAAAGAGAGAGTGGAACAACGTAATAAAAGCACATATGGGGTTTTAGTGAAATGGAATCTGAAATGAGAAAAAATTACTTTGAATTTTACAAAGTAATTTCCCCTTCTTTTCCTTAAAAGAAATGTGGATGGGTGAATTTATACATTGATTCAATGACTCACTGAAAATATAAGATCCCTTTGGGTTTGAAGGATGAGGTTTCACTTGATCATAAATGGGAGTGCGGGATCTCACTGTAAGTGAATTTCCAAAGGCAACTGTCTTATCCCCGGGGGATAATTTTCAGCCTTTTTAAGAATCTTTATGCCAGGATGAAAGGGGCCATTTCTGAGAACAGAAGCCGTGTTAATTTTATAGCAATCAACCCAGAAAAGGGAAAAAAACCATGGCGAGAAAGAGCAGTATATACCTGGCAGAACGGTCAACCATGCAGAGTGAAAGGATATCCCAATAGAATTACCCGCCAAGCACGTATACTCCCCAGCATCCTCAAAAGTTACATTCCGAATATAGAGAACCTCAATCTCTTTGTCCGTGGTATTAACACCGGCGGCCTAGAAAACAGGGAAGCAAGAGAAAAGGCTAGACAACACAGGGGTGATCGTGGAGGGGGCCGTGGAACCATGAGGCATTGCACCAGGGGCTCCGGCAGGTGCTGGCCACCAGAAGATTCCGATCGCAGCCCGTCCACAAAGCCCACAACCGAGAGACACTGAGCAGCTCGCCTCCACAGGCCCGTCACCACACCGGCTGCACCACCTAGACATGCATGCAATCGGACGCATGGAAAAATCAACCCACAGAGATCCGTTTTCTCTTGGCCTTTGTGTTGCTTGGGATTTAGGGATGGTTTTCTGAAAGTGTAAGCACCCAAAAGTCCCAGCTGGGTTCTGGTCCTGTTGGCTGCAGACTCCCACCTTGAGAAAAGGATGGTGCTGTCTAAATTATCGTGTTATAAAGCAAAACCCTGGAGACACGCCCAAGTGGACACCTGGCACGTCCTTCCAGCCTGGTGGGGACCAACCAGGGTGGAATATTGTGTCGGTTACCAGACTCTGATATTCACATGGAACCATTTTGACTCACACGGCATGAAAGTACAATCTTGGTAGTGAAGAAACTGGTTTTTTTTTTTTCCTTCAATATAAACATTTGAGTGTGAGTCGTGACAAAGAATGTCAACTGCTGCCTTCAGCGGTGTCCACATCCATAAGATGGATTATGCTCCAACTTAGGATAGCAAGGTCAAGGACAGTATTTCCTAAGCACCCATTATGTAACCAAGGAAATGATATTCTGTTGGAAAAATTATCGCATGCCAATATTTCTCTATCAATCTGGGGCAGAAGAAGGCATGAATTCTGCTGATATGTAAATGTCCCAAATTCAACAGGCATGCCTGGGTGTGTTGAAACTGCTGCTTGTGTACAGAAATGACAGGGAATGTGCAGCCTAAACAAGATAAACCAGAAGGAACGACTTAAAAACTGGGTCGGGGGGGTTGCAGGGGGTGGCAGGTAATCTTTAGAGGAAATGAGAGCAAGCACTTTGAACATTGTGGGCATTTTTCCATGGCTGCTGGTATCCTACCAGCTGCATCACCGAAGAAAGATTATGACGAATATACCAAGGCCACAGAGTCATCCTAGAAGCTGCCTGCAGTCTCCCAAAGCACCAAATCTTTTCAGCTTCTATATCCAGCCTTCTTTAAAAAAAAACAAAAAACAAAAAACAAAAACACAAAACATTGTTACCTTGCTGTTTTGGCAGGACAGTGAGCCAGGCAGACTGGTTGGCCTGCCCTATATAATTGGAGACCTTACATATATACTCCCCAGCATCCGCCTCAGTCACATTGAACAGAGCCAGCACTTCTGCATTGGAACTATTTATCCCCGAGTGCTGGAACAGACACAGGAGAACAATATAACGGCCAACCAGGAAGGACTTTGCACTGTCTTAGGGACCCACCACCAACACATCACCAAAAAAAAAACCAAAAACCAAAAAACAAAACAAATCTCCATTAGGTCTAAGGAGCTGCCTTACAGGGTTGTGGGCTTAGACAGAACAAAATAAGCTAACTGGTGAGCCATGGAAGTGAGCCAGGGGAGAGGGATAGAAGGGTGTGATCAACACCGAGCAGAACGGACCCGCAGTTCCCCAGGCTGGTCATCTTTTTCCAGCTCTTTTGACCACTGGGATTCTCAGCTGGGGAGATCACCTCATCGGTTGAGAGTTCTTAGTGGAGCTACCTATGGTTCTATGGGAAGACTGTTCTTTTTAAGGACGTTCTCTGCAAGCACCTACATGCGAGAGATGTGGTAGGCAGTGGCTAAGGAGAGGCTATACAGACTTAGTTGCCACTTGCTATCACCGTCCTGAAGAGCAAGACAGATCTAAAAATTAAAGAGGCTGATGCTATCACCAAGTCCCCTCTTGGAAGGAACCAAATACGAAATACAAGGAGAAAGGAAGTCTCCTTGTTCAACATTTCACTGGCGCAAAAGCATTTTCTAAAGTTTATTGTCTAAACCACATGTGAATGAATTTCAAAGGCCAAAGCCTTCTTTTAAAAGTAAAATGTAAATTGCCTCTGACAGATGGCTACTCCAATTTGATCCTAACGTCGTATTAAGAGAAGTCGATATCAGCGTTAACCATAAACACTGGTACCACGTGAGTTCACAAAGCTCTTTCAATGCACGCCATCGCATGGATTCTGCACAACCACCCCGTAGGGGAGATGGCATCATGATCCCCACTTTTATGGATGTGCAGCTAAGCCTCAATATCTCATATGAGATCTCAGGGCCAATAAGTAGCTGAATTATTCTGACTCCTACTTGAATAGCCCTTCCCTCCCCTCTCCCCGCCCCCCATTCCCTTCTGCAATTTTACTAGCAAGCCTAATAATCTGCTAATTCCCTACCACAGTCTCTTCTGGCCGGTCAAGTAAGATCAACAGATCCAACGGGAAATCAAAGAACCTGTCCCCACGTCCACGACGGAGACCCCAGGTGTGGGTCCCTTCAGATTCAGAAAGTCCTCACCTTCAGCACCTTGAGGTAAGGCAGCCCGTCGGGCCCGTATTTGCTGCCGTTCTTTTCTACATGTTTGATCCACTGAATGTGGGGCTGGGCGTCGCTGTAAACTTTGCAGACAAACTCCACGTCGCCTCCGACCACAGTGGAGGCGTTCGCTGGCAGTCCAGCTTGGAGGATGGGCCGGTGTGGCGATCGCTCTGAGGGAGAGAGGGAGGAGGGGGGAGAGCCGAATAAATAAGTTGTGTTGTCCAGAAGGCTGTTCATGAACACAAGCCAAAAAGGCCTCAAGTCTGCTGGCTGACTCCTTTGAAATAACACTGCGGCCCAATGCATAACAAAACCGACTTCAAAGGAGACTGCTGGAGCGCAACCCGTGTAAAAAGAATACTTATTTAGAAAACAGAGAGAAGAAACTTCTGATATCTCAAGTTATCGGTTGTCCGTGGCCACCTACCGAACAAGGGGTAAGATTTTATGTTGACAATCGAAAGGACAAATGGCAGGGGACGGGGGCCTCTTCACTTGTCCCACTTGGGATAATATCAGAGACTCACTCTGACCATAAGCTTAACACCACAGGCAAGGGACAAGCCTAAGGTCACCCCGAACACCAAAATGGCTCCCATACACAGTGTCTCCCGAAAATTCTCTAAGGCGCTCTGAGAAAACCTCCATTTCTTATTTTGAAAAGAAAAACCGAAAGCAGGAGCTCAGAGTGATGAACAGACTGAATGAATAACTGGGTTCATCCCTTTACTCTGGACTTCACTCCTTTTATTCAACATCCATCCATTGATTACCTCGATATATATTAAGTGTTACCGTCTGCCAAACGCTAGATGCACAAGCAAACATTCCTTCTTCAGATGTGGCACCAAAAGAAACATAGACAGACACCAGTTCCCCAATCCTGGCGATGTTCTAGGCCATGTTCAAGGAAGCCCCAGAGAGGGTATGCTAGCCATCACTCCCCACCCTCACCTGCCTTGCCTCTCTCTCTCTAGGCAAAAAGTTCTCAACAAAAGACACACTTCATTTTATGCCTGGAAAAGTTCCTCTCCTGTTTAGAGGGAGTCTCTACAGAAATCATTTGGAGACAACCAGGTCAAGGTATATGAGAAACTGTAGGCAAGAGTCCTCAAGAATCTGGTAACAGACCAGCCCGTTGTGTGATCCGGTCCACAAAGGCCCTAGAATCCCAGGCTGACTGCCATCTTACTAGGTGACAATTCGGTCAAGAGTACATACCCAATCATCCATCCAGCCATCCACAAACGTATCATCCCACCCCCACGTACCTGCACGTACAAGCCAGCCTCCCCCTCTGTCTCCCTACACTGTAGATACCACTGTCTTTAACTCGCAGCTTAAAAAATGGCCAAGGGAAAGAAGGAGATCCCAGCCAACCCAACACACCAAAGATGCCTCCACCCTACACCTGAGTATCCCTGTGCACTGGATTGGAAATAGCAAATTAGAATGATAGATATCTAAACCCTTCTATATTTGGGCCTTTCAGATTAAAATATCATTTGCTGGAATTTGTTGGACACAAGCCAAACCATGTGCAAATTGATTTTACTGCACAAGTCTGTTGGTCTTTAAAAACTTAAAAAAAAAAAAAGAAAGAAAGAAAGAAAAGCAAAGGAAAAAAGTGCTAGTGGGTTACTCTTAACACATTTCATTCCAGAATCTTCCATCACTTCACAGACACCTACACTTTCACATTAAAAAGATAAGGATTTCAGAGCCTCCGAAGAAGTCATTCATTTCCCAACATTACACTGTAGGCTGAGCAAAGAACCCAGAAGTCCTACTTTTGCGGACAGAAAATCTCAAAGCTAGGACCCCTTCAAACATAACCAGAAAGCCTCACCCTTCGGCTGACACACCATCCCTGCGATGTGCCACAGCCAGCCTCCCCATCAGGTGTGGCAGCCAGCTGGATGCCACGGGCACCCGGCTTGCAGCTGGAAGGGTCAGGGCTGGTTTAATCCCAGCTAGCCCCATCCACGTGAGAAGAGCAGAGTCAAGTACACACACACACACACACACACTGTCCTCTGGACTGGATACTGACAGCCAAGCTCACAAAATCCGCTCCTTTACACATACCTCATATTGAGGCAGTTTACTCTTTCCTGCAGAGAAGTGCATTTTAGGTATCCATTCACTCCCTGGCTCGGTTTTCCAGTTTTGTGTGCGTGTGTTTGTGTGTTTTAAGATAAATATTTACAGTGGACCTAAATATTTATTCTTAGAAACAAAGGTCCTATAAAATCTTAAATGTCATAAGCCAGATCAACTGAATTTCAAACCAAATTCTCCTTCTTAAACATACTTGTTTCCAATAAATCGTTTCACAAGCAAACATTGTGCATGTAATACCAAATAATGATGCCCTGGGAACAATGAGTGCTTTCATAAGGCTGCCTTCTCCGGCCGGCGCCAGCCTTCAGCAGAGAACGTAGTCACTGGGGCAACACGGGCAGGGCCCGCTGCAGAGGTGCAGCCTTGTTTTACTTGTGGTCAACGTGCTGCTACGTTCCAGTTATTAAGTTATTCCATTGCTATCCGGACTATTTTCACCAAGAGGGGTAAAAAAAAAAGCCCTTGCAATGGTTTAATGTTATTGCATTTGCAAATTACGGCGTACCAAATGTTACCGCTTGCAGTCCTGAATGTATCCTTTCAAATTTTCTCACCTTATACAAAATAACCTCTTAACCACCCCCGCATACCTCCACCCTTTCTCGCTTTGGGTACAAAAACTGCAAGTCGGGATCTCTCTGTAATCGAAACCTTACACCGCCTTCCAAAACTTATTACAGCTGCCTTCAGTATAAAATGAAACCTTAGAGAATGTTATTTAAAATGTTTTTAAAAAGTCAGTAGGCCTCATGTTTCGTTCTCCACATCAGGCTTTGATTTCCTTTGCAACCTTATTCTCTGCCCTTAAACAAGTCAGAGACCAGGCCCCAAACATCTTGGGAAAGGTCCCAGGATGCCGGCATCCCCCGAACTGTGCCTCTTCTCAAAATCCTTCAGCGATCGCTCTTCCCTGGTGTCTGTCAGACCCGAAAGAACAGGGATCAGCAGGAAGGGGATGACAGAAGTTAGAACTCCTGTTCTAACTTCCGAAACACAGGGGTGAGAGCAGGGTGCAGGCAACAGCTCCCGCAGAGATGGGACCTCTGTGGCCAGCTCCCCAGGGGCCCCGGGAACAAGGCAGTGATGGTGGACACGAGGACCCCCCCGCAAAGGCTAATGTGCTCTCCCTGGAACCTCACCCGGCCCCAGGCAGAGCAAACCCCCCAGGTTCCCAACACTTTGGGCAACAGGCCGATATAAAAAGAAGAAGTCAATGAATTATCTCTGGGTCACGGACTAAAACTCAGAGCTGGCCCATCTCTCGGTCTTCTATGGGATAACAAAAATCACAGCCTCTCTACCAGGAAGGTTTTACAGTTTTAGGCAAGGTTCTCTTACTGCATGTTTAACTCTCAGATCTTACAGAAAACAGATTTTTCTCTTTCCAGGGGCAGTGAAATAAATATAAGGAAAACCGAAAAGCTGATGAGCAGCTCAACCCCTGTGTCCTTAGTGCGAAATACACATTCTGAGCACAACAGGTGGCAGAAGGTCACTGCGCAGACCCGAACCAGGTCGCGCACCTTTAAAGGAGTGACTCTCGGGCCTCTATGCGAATTCCAACTTGAGACAGAAGGGAACGAAGCCTGGAGGGTGCGGTTGCTGCCGATGGGGCACTGGCTGCCCGGCTGGAATGAGGTTCCACCAAATTGATGCGTAGTAAACACAGACTGAAGTGCTTTAAAAAATACATGCTCTCCCCCACGAGTTCTCTCTCTCTCTCTCTCACTCCCTTTTGTCAAGAGCTCCAAGTGAGTCTACTTTCCTCAAGCAGAACGCCCAGCAGCTACGAGTCTGAATTTCGAGACTGACCCTCCCAAGTCCTGCTCTGACTCTGGGAGTCACAATCAGAAAGAACAGGCGGAAAACAGCCTGCTTCGTTCCAAGACGTAATTATTGAGAAAAAGAAAATACCTGAGTGACAAAGAATAAATCTTTGTTAATTGACCACTGAAACTTTATAACATGCCAGTCCTCCTCTGGACATAATAATATGCTTGGCTCATAAGAGATCTACAACTTTTGCTCTGACATAGCCAAGGCCATAAAAAACGTCCACGGAGCAGAGAGGCCTCATGCCTACAGGCTCAGTAAATACGCATCCCGGGGATCAGAAGGAGACCAGGTTCTTAAATTACACCTATAAATTAATCAAGCCCAGAGTTGCTGGTTTCCCAGCACACACTGGTCTCCTGAGTATTTCTCCCCAAAAGTTCAGCAGTACTTGCCACAAAGAACCATTTCAAAGCTGTTCTCTCGGCGGCAAAACACCCAGAGACTCGAATCACACTGAGTGCCCAGTATTGATCTGGAAACAGCATGTCCCCTGGTCTGGGGCACCCATTCATGTAAGGAGTGTAGAGAACCTTGCCTGCTCTGTCCTTAAATTGAAATCAAAATTTAATTACCCTTCCTCTTAAATGGCAGTTTCTTAGCAACTCCAAGGGCCTGAATAGAGAAAGAACGTTCTACACGATTTGGAGGACAAGTGAAAACAACGGAGAATTCTTTTTCTAAAGCCCAGCCTCGCTTGTTTTCTAAAGAGTAGGTAGTGGTTGCTTTTGTTGCATAAAAAACGCATTAAACCAGTTAGCGAGAGGCGATCAAAGCCCTCTGAAGTCTGAGGAGCCCAATAACCTGCCAAAGACCTCACACTAATTACAATTAGTAGAATGAGTTCATTGCCTTGTCAAGACTCTACCTAATGCATTCAACACAGTCAGGAGAGATCAGGTTGGGTTCTGAGTTTTGTTTTCCCTACGTTTTCTCTAGCCTCTAGAAATCAGCACTGATCAGTAGGACTGATCTCTTTTAGACATTGGACTGTTTTAAAAAGGGCCCAAGTACCGGCAGCTGGTATTCTGACTTGTCATCTTCTAGAACAGATGCAGTGGCCTGGGATACTGAGCACCCAGAATAACTTAAAAAAAAAAAAAAAAGGAAAAATGCCTTTTCGTAGAAGGTCACTGGTGTGTTGCTCTCTCTCTCTCTGTCCCAAGCTTAGCTGAGCCTCATTTTCCTCCCGCCTGGACATCTGACCCTGAAA